TTTGCCGCCCGCCGTTCAACTAAAAAGAGCAGCGAACTTTTTGCCGCGAAGGTTCAAAAACTTAAAAGAACGGCGAAAAATTAATTGGTTTTTTACCGCTCCACTTTAATTGTCCCCGCACCAATCAGCGTGAATCTCACTTGAATAGCATAAAGGTAGAGTGAATTTGGAAAAGTCATTTTGCTCTGCTCATCCCAGTGTCAAGATATCCAATTGCTCAAAGATGAAGACTTTGTATGAACTTGCCTTGGAAGCTGTCCCTAACAAGGGTTTAATGGCTGAGACGTTTCTGGTCCCTGGTCATCCGATTGCCAAAGAACTTCAAGCCCGGCAGTACATTGAAGACAGAAATAAGTATAGACAACAACACCGCGTCAATTTCAGGTTTGTCTACGCTGATTTGTGTTTTATCCAAGCCTTGTTTTTAAACTCAGACATTTACCCGAGTGATGTTACGTTTTTAAATCGATTGTGGAAACAAATCGACGATTTACTTTAGTCCCTGTTTTGTTTTAGACCTATTCTGGAATCCCTGTTTTGGATAAAAGATTGCATATGGCTTAGTGTGAAGACGAAATGTTATATGATTGAACTGTAAAAACGTGTTTTTAAACGTGCTTGTTGATGTTTTATTTTAGAAATTGTTTGAATGAGTTGAAACAGCGAAGATGGACCATGTATTGTCATAAAACAGAATGGATTCCCGTCAATGCGGAGAAACTTTTGTGTTCTCATTGTAAAAGAATTAGGTCAACACAGTTAACTTTAGATGGTTTACGTTTGCAAAGGCAAAAGAAATTTGTAGATAAAAATGAAGAGGCACGTTTAATTCGGCGTTTTTACTATACGCCAATTCGTAGACGGTTAGAATTTGATTAAGTTGTTGTTTTTATTTTCTGTTTAGCAAATGTTTGCGACAAATCAAGAAGCGTCATTTCTGTAGATCGACCCAATGGCTTTCGTTTCATGAAGGATTTTGTTCTCAGTGTTTTAGAATTGGAGTTGATTGTTTGACAGTAACCGGTCAAATGAAATATGACCGATACGAACGAGTTAATTTTGAACATGAACGACGAAAAATCTTTAAGCTATACAGGGGTACAGGAATTTTAAGAAGACGTCAGGCACTTGAACACAGAGTAATCCAATCTTTGGGTCTTTTTTTAGAAAAGTGATGCAAGATATCCGTTTTTCACCGCTAAATCCTTTTACAGAGTGGATTGAAATGAACCAGCAGAAAACTGATTTTCGAATTACCGTGTTAAATGTAACCTTGGATGATTTAAAGCTTGTGAACAATCCTTTTTTTCCGCATATTACATCCATGATCGAGCGCTTTGAGCGAACCTACGCTCACTTAAAATTAGATTTTCCTTGGTTTTTTCAAGATTATCAAGATGACTTTGTTGGACCAGATTCATTAGGAATCTGATATGTTCCAGTTTGTAAATAAGAAGAAAGTGCTTTGAAAAGGACTTTAGCCGACTTGCGGTTAAAATACGTTCCTCTCACTGCATTTACTAAGAAAGTGATTGTAACATTTTACCGAAGGGAGGTTAAATGTAAATAAAAGTTAAGTTTGCGTGTAATTTACTTGTGTCTTTTGGGGAAAGAGAAATGAACTGAACTGTGAAATCAACGTTCAGGCAGGGAGGGGTTTTCTGAGAACTAATAAACCGAGCATTGTCAAATTCAGGGAAAAGAACAAAGAGTATAGCTGACTCAGCCAAAAATTAATTAGACAAAGAATTATTCTAGAGTTGAAAAATTCATTGGAAAAAAGAACAAAGAGCAACCTTGAACGGCTTTTGAAATTCGAAGCACGTACTCCACAGCTAATTTAACTAAACTGCGTCTCTTAAAGCGTCATTCAGTTTTTACTGTCTTACTGAGCGGAGCTTTTTGCGAAACTTTTTGAAAACGATGGATCCATACATTCGCGCGCTTATGGAGGATGGACTCGATTCCTTGTTGGAAGAAATTCCAGACTGGACCGCTAGTCAAGGGGAAGAGTTAATTGACTCGGAGGACGAAAGCGATCTGCTTATCGCCGCGCGCCGAGCAGACCAGCAAGGAGGGAATCCGTTATTTGCGGTGAACATGCAGCGAGTGAGAGCGCCCCGTTCATTTCACCGTGGCGTGGCCCTCCAAATGCAAGTCCGACTTTCTCTAGAGCAACTACGCCCACCGAATGGAGAATATCAGGGAGAAGCGGTTGCAGAAGCCTTCCACCAAGGGCTAATTAATTTTATCCGCGATCCTCACAATGGCATTGTCAACCCTGACGAGTATTCCATGTCGATGGCTATTCACCATAGTACAGGGACTCACACTTGGACCAGTTGTCCTAGAGTTCCCCTGAGCGAGTGGCTTCAAGGTTCGCCCCTCACGCGCCAGTGGTTGGAAAAGCTCGCAAAACAACTGAACTCAGCGGAAAGTTTTGATGCTGCAAGTGGCGAATTTTTCGCAGAACTGTCTTTTTTTAAGACCCAGCAACGGGGCGGAAGACCAGCCAGAAACAAGCCAGGCAACAAGTCGTTTGAGCAGTTGCTCGATAAACGATCCGTGATTACCATTAAGAACAAAGATGAACTTTGTTTCGCCCGAGCCTTGGTGTCTGCCAAAGCCTTTGTGGACCAAGACCCAGAGCATAAAAATATTTCTAAAGGACGCGGACTGCAGGGTCATCTTGCCTACAAACTGCATCAAGAAGCCGGGGTTCCTGAAGGACTGTGCGGTCTGCCGGAAATTCAGAAAATGCAAGAACATCTTGGCCCTCAAGGGTACCAAATTAAAATCTTTGAAGGAATCTGCGGCGCTCTCTGGTATTGCGATGACTCGTTTGATTCGGCGCCTAAAAAACTGTGTCTACTCAAAGTAGAACAACATTTTCACGGGTTACGAAGTGTACCCGCTCTCCTAAACAAGAGTTATTACTGTCATCAATGTAACAAAGGTTACAACCAAGAAGACGCAAAACATCATAATTGTTCTCATCAAAACTGTAACAAGTGTCGAAGAAAAAACGGCGACTGCCCTGATTTTCAAGAAAGAAAGCCTGCTCTTGTCTTCTGCAATGAATGTGGTCAGTCGTTTTACGGACAAAACTGTTTCAACGCTCACAAAACAAAGCTGTGTCAGCGATTCAAAAAGTGTCCCGAGTGCTGTAAAGTTTACAAGTATTTGAAGAAAAAGAAGCATGTATGCGGAGAATACCGATGTCCTAACTGCCGAGAGAAAGTTTTGCCGAACCATCAGTGTTACATTCAACCGCTTGGAATGGAGTTCAGCAATCTTCTCGACCAGGCCGATGAAATGAACGAGGAAGACCGTGCGATTCTGGAAGACATGGTTGAAGCGGAAGCCGCGGAAAAAAGTCAAAAAGAAGAGGACGAAGAACCGCCCCCGCTGGTGTGTTGTATTGATTTTGAATGTGGGTTGGATGAAAATAAGGATTTTGAGGATGTGCGTGTGGGCTGGCAATATGTGAATGTGGAAGGTAGCTACCGCGAAGCAGGCAAGGCATCGGATATGTTGGAGGATGTGATGGCGAAAACGGTTACCGCGGACATGAAAGAACGGAAAGTGTTTGTGTTTGCTCACAACATGCGAGGGTTTGATTCGTCTTTTATTTTGCAGTTGTTGTATAAGGGTTACAAAGTCGAAAAGGTCTTGAGTATGGGGGCTAAATTTTTGTCGTTTCAGTGTGGAAATATGATTTTTCGGGATTCTTTGAATTTTTTTAACATGCCTTTAGAACGCTTGCCGGCTACATTTAATTTGAAGGAAGCGCATAAGGGTTTCTTCCCTTATTCTTACATTTCTGAAGACAAGATTTATTACGTTGGTCCCTACCCAAAAAGCAGAAGAATACCATCCAGAACGTATGAATGAAAAACGGCGAAAGGAATTTTTAACTTGGCACAAAGAAAAAGTTAACAGCAGCGCCATTTTCGACTGTCAAAAAGAACTATCCGCTTATTTGAAAAGCGATGTGCAAGTCTTAACCCAATCCCTGGAAACATTTGCCAGTGAAATGTTAGAGCTGACTGGCATAGACCCTACGGTGGAATGTGTCACCATTGCCAGTACCGCTTTTAAAGTGTTTCAAAAGAAGTTTTTTGGAGCCGTACACCATTGCCTTGGAACCCCTGGGTGGATGGCGTCACAACCAGCAAAACCAGAGTGTGGAGGCCCTGCAGTGGTTGGAATTTCAAAATGCCAAGATTGGTGGCGGTATTCAGGTAATTTTGTTAGTGCAGTGTTTTTCCACACTAAAAAATTAAGTTGCAGTAAAAAGTCTACATTTAAGAAAAATTAGTTGTAGTGTTTTACCTTAAATATCAGGTGGCGAAATGTTTTGACTGTGCAAATAGGATTGCACGCTTGCAATAAAAAAATAACAAGCATTTGTATGGGAAATGTGCTAAAAAAGTCTACACTTAAGAAAATTTATTTGCAGTGTTTTACTGTATTTTTCAGTTGACGAAATGTTTACTACGGTGCAAAATAGGATTGCACGATCGAAAAATTATATTCTGCGGACCGCGCAGCAGAAAACAATAATATTATTTTTCTCTTTTTACAGCATGTACGAAATTCATTGAAGGGGGAAGTCAAAGTGATCACCCCTGCTCAATCGTACTATGTGGATGGGTTTCACGCAGCCAGCAATACCATCTACGAGTATAATGGATGCATTTTTCACGGATGTCGAAAATGTTACCCAAAGCAAGGAAATATGAAACGATTCTGCCATCCAGATCGAACTGTCGATGAAGTCTATGTAGCAACACTAAGGAAAAAGCAGCCATCCTTCGTGAGGCAGGCTACAGCGTCATTGGAAATGTTGGGGTGTGACTTTGCCAAGCAGAAAGAAACCGACCCAGAGCTGGCCGAATTCTTGGAAAACTTTGAATTTGTTCCGCCGCTTGAACCGCGAGACGCATTCTTTGGAGGGCGAACGGGAGCCGCGACCCTTTACTCAAAAGCTGGTGAGGATGAGGAAATCGGTTATGTGGATTTCACATCCCTGTACCCAAGTATCAACAAGTATGGAATGTATCCTGTTGGTTTCCCGCGGATCATTTATCAGCCCCAAAACCAGAATATTAGTGAGTACTTTGGCATCGCGCAAGTTGATATCCTGGCTCCCGAGCGGTTGTACCACCCTGTTCTGCCGGTCAGAGCCGGCAGAAAAACTTACTTTTCCTCTCTGCAGGTCATGCGTTCAAGAAGAGTTAGCCAACCCTTTGCTAGAACGGAGCAATATGTGCGGTCACACACGCGAGGAACGTATGCTGAAGGGAACCTGGTGTACTCCTGAACTCCAAAAAGCCGTGGAGAAAGGTTACCAGATCGTAAAAATCCACGAAGTCTGGCACTTTCCTGAAGAAAATCGTCGCCAAGGCCTATTTGCAGGCTACGTCAATACCTGGCTAAAGCTGAAACAAGAGAGCGCTGGTTGGCCTGCCGGAGTTGAAACCCCAGAGCAGAAAGCTGAGTACGTGAGACGGTATGAACAACATGAAGGAATTAAGTTGGACCCTGACAAGATAGCCGTGAATCCTGGGAGGAAAAGTATTGCAAAATTACTTTTGAACAGGTGAGTCATGTTTTTCCACACTTAAAAATTAACTTACAGTAAAAGACTGCACATTTTAAAGTTAACTTGCGGTGTTTTACCGCAAATTTCAGGTCGCGAAATGTTTGTGACTGCGCAAATAGGATTGCACGCTTGCAATCAAAAATAACAAGGATTTGTATGGGAAATGTGCTTAAAAAGTCTACACTTAAGAAAATTTATTTGCAGTGTTTTACTGCATTTTTCAGTTGACGAAATGATTACTACGGTGCAAATAGGATTGCACGATCGAAAAATTATATTCTGCGGACCGCGCAGGAAACAATAACAAATGTCTATTTTTTTATTCTATCTTTCAGTTTATGGGGCAAATTTGGTGAACGGCAGAACAAACCTGTAACACACTGCATTACTCAGCCTTCGCAACTCTTCCAGCTGTTAGAAGACCCTGTCAATGCCATTCACAGTGTGCGAATTTGCTCTGAGGACGTCATGGAGTTGGTCGTCACAAAAAACTAAGACGAATATCAGCGCTCGTTCAAGCAAAACGTGTTTATCGCGGCGTTCACCACTTCGCTCGCCCGTTTAAAGCTGTACGATGCCCTTGATTTTTTAGGTGACCGAGTCTTGTATTACGATACAGACTCGGTCATTTATAAAACCAAGCGGGGTCAAGAGAAGCTTCCTCTCGGAGAATTTTTGGGTCAGTTCACCAACGAGATTGAAGGCGACGTGATCATCGAATTTTGCAGTGGCGGGGCGAAAAACTATGGCTACCTCACCAAGAAAGGTAAAACCGAATGTAAAGTACGCGGGTTTTCGCTCAATTACGAGACAAAACAAGTCTTAAATTATCACACGATGAAGGAAAACATCCTGAAAGAATTGGATGAACCGCTGAAAAAAGCACGTAAAATAGTGATTACCATTCCCGATTACTTTCAACGGGACCAAGTCACCAAGAAAATCAAGCTCACGGAACGTAAAAAACAGTATCAACTGGTGTTTGATAAACGTGTGATTGACCCTGCCACTCGTTCTTCCACGCCCTACAGCTACAACTGGTTCGGGGGAGACGCTGAACTTTTAATGGACTTGTAAATAGTGCGGGCACGGTTTGCTTGGTAGCGCCAACCCGCTTTAGCTTTTGTATGTAGTTTTTATAGGGGTACAGTAGCTTGGAAGCGCGAACCTCTTGCATGCTTTGTTTTTGAAATTAAATTAGGATTTGTAACGTTTTATCGAAGGGAGGTAAAAACGGCTTAATAAACTAAGTTCGCGACACAATTGATTGGTGTGGTCTCTGTTTGTATAAATAGAGGGAACAGGGTTGGTCAAGTTACTTTTCGTAAACATGTCGAACATTTACTTAACCCTCGTAAGCGATGTCACCCAAAATTACGCGAGTAATGTGGCAAATCAGTTTAAAGTCAAACCTGGGTTAAGATTACACGGGGAAAGATGGAAAGTCTCAATTGGTTCGGCAATTTTGCCTAAAATGTCTCTATTTAAAGACTTGCAGAGTGCCGATGTGAATTTAATGGAATTATGGGCTGAGACTGAAAAAGCAAATCAATCCGGTGTGTCGCAAAAAGGCTATATCAGTGCAAGTGATTTACGTGAATGGGAAAAAGCAGGCGCCTGTCATGAAGGGGTGGATTTTTTTAATACAGTGAAACATAGAATAGAAGAAACAGCGCACGCTAGTTTGGATGATGGTTTTAAGTTTAGTTCAGCCCGTTGGCATACATTAGCGTGGAATAAAGACGGTGTGCAAGCGGAACTCGTCTTAACTCATAACCATACGGACAATTGAATTTATATCTACAAACCGTTTACGGAAACATTGCATTGGATAAATACCAAGTCTAATCAAGCCGATAGCATGGGACCAAATTTGGTACATAGCTACCCCAATCACACTAAAGGAGCCAGTTCCTTGGAGATGGGAAAACCTACCCAAATACTTGGCAATTGGCTTCATTTAAGCACTCTCTCCGATTGGCGTTTTATTAACCTCAATCAAAGTTTTGAAGATGCCTTAAACCTCTACCCCAGACCCCTGGAAGTCTCAGCCAAAGTGACCGCTAACAGCGTGACCATCACGCAATCCTTAGGCCAAGTCTATTATGCGCCCAAAGGATTGCAACGCTATGTGTTTACCCCACCCGTGGAAGAATTTTATGAGGTGCAAACAAATCATTGGGATGAAGTGGAAATTACCCTGAAAGAACTGGATGACCAGAAAGTAAATTTTTACAGTCAAAGTCAGTGTGTGATTCGACTGCATTTTAAGAAAGACTAAAACTCTTATGTGTGAAAAAGTCTACAAAAATAAAATTCTTATGGGTGGAAAAAGTCTGCAACTTACAAATGTGTCATCCAAAGGTCCCAAGACCCCTACGAAAAATTCTTAAGGCCCCTAAAATTATCAAGGTCCCAGGGACCTTATAAGGTCCCTCACATAAGAAAGAATAAGACTCACAAAATTTTAATTGTAACAACACATTTTATTTAGTGAATAAAAACAGAATTACAGCTTAAGTTTGCGTTTTGTTTGCATGATCTTTTTAACAATCCGTTCTTGCATGGTTTTCTTGCCTGGGAGCTTTGAAATAGCACGAATCATTTTATCGTCCGCTTTCCACTTGTCCTGTAAATTTTTCGCTTTGGAATAATCGATGTCATGGATTTTCGCTAATCCATCTAATCTATTGACGCCTTGGTCACCCCTCCTTAGTCTTTTTTGAAGCTGAGTCCCTGGACCAAGATAATTCATTTTAGGCCAATGAAACTCTTTACCTGTTTTTTCAATAAGCTTCTGAATATCCAACGCAGCCCCACGCTGACCCCGCTTTCTTTTCTTTTGCGGTCTTTTTCTGCGAACCTTCCTTTTACCAGTCTTTGCCATATAATCGTCTTTTTGCCGGTGTGCCAAACGGTTTCCAGTCTGGAGCAGTTGCGAGTTTCTTTAAAGCTCTTTCTTTAGCCCTTTCAGCAGCTCTTTTTGATGCCTCGTTAAATTTTTTTTCAATACTCTCCTGAGCTTTTTGAAAAGGGGATTTAACAGCAAAGCCTTCTTCTTCCGCTGTACTAAAAACACTGGTAGAAGGGGAAGGAGTCTTTTTCTTTTTAGGAGTCTTGTATCCAGAGGAAGGAGTCTTTTTAGGGGTCTTGGGTAACAGCCGCTTTGCCTTGGATCCGGTCTTAAAAGTTAACTTGGGTTTATTACTCGTAGAAGGACTTTGTTTGACCACAGGAGTTTGTAACACTGATTGAGGGGTGACCGGTTCTGGTTTCCTTTTTATAGCCTTACTGATTTTTGAAATGTTTCCCATAAATTGTTGTAGCGGGCCAACAGCTAAATTTCCTTCATCATCACTGTCGTCTTCATCGCGACTTATTCCTCGTGTTCCTCCTGGTTGACGAATTTTCTTAACCCATTGTTGTAATTCTCGGTTGACTGATTTTAAACGAGGTTCTTTCCATGTATCGGGGGCAGGACTCTCCAGCAAAAGTTCTTTTTGAGCGGCTAAATCGGCTGCTTTGGTTAAACGGCTATCGTCTAAAAGATTAGATTTATATTTATCTCGCAAACGTAAAAATTGCACTGAGTTTTCAATCGGTGTGGATGAAATGCCGTCCATGCTTGCTAATGAAAATAAGCGTTAAGCCTTGTCTTTATATTGGTTTGGGTCTGCATCTCTCTTTGACTTTTTGTTGAAACTCTTTGATCATTTGTGCTAGTAGTAACAAATAGTCTAATAGACAAAGAAGTCATTGTAACACTTTACGTTTCATGACTGATATTGCCTTTTAGCACAGTGATAACAGCGATGTAATTCTTTCCACGCACCCGCACCTATTTGAGTACTCATCAAGTGTTTGCGCTTTTTTATACTCTGACGAGGGTTGGCAATGACTCGGAGAGATTGACGATAGGGTTTTAAACGGCTCACTGTTTTTCTCCCAGGTTTAACACTCCCCCGCAAGGTGTTCATCACTAACTCACTCACAGCATTAATTTGATCTGCATTTGCATACCGTAATTTTTGTTGCCGCTTATTTTGGTTAGCTTCTTTTAACACATCGTTTAAAAAATGACTCTGTCTCGTCATACGTCCCATGTTTATGTCTTTCTTCATGTTGGTTGGCGTCTCCTCCTTTTATACTTCTTTTTCTCTAACGCTTGGATTGCTTTCTTAGTACCATATTTCGTCAATGCACTTAAACCTCCTAACGCGGCCGCTTTTCCTCCAGCGGCTAAAGCTGGAATCACTGCGGCTAACATGGGAGCAATCCCGCCTCGTTGTCTTCCTACCCCCGGTTTACCTTTTCTTCGTTTTGGGTGTCCTTTTCGTTTCATGTTTAAATTGGCGTTTGTTGGAGAGGGAACGGCTATTTATATCTTCGTCAAAGGTATGAACGCGTGTTGTTCCCTCTGCTTTGGTTAAATGACTCCAAATACGGAAACAGTCATTGGAGGCAGGATGTAAATCCAACATAAAATAACCAAAAGGACGGGAGGTCAGTTTTAAAAACAATTTGAGTACTTGACGCCATTTTTCAGGGTACACTTGAAGCAGTAAATGTCGAATGCCTGTCTTATCCCTGGGTGATTTAAAACAAATCACATAGTGCGCATTGCGGTTAATCGTTTTCGCAAACTTGCCTGGGGGAAAGAGATCTTGTGTAATATAAAGAGCGGTAATGCCTCGATGGTGAGAATCTTTTGTAAATAAATCCAACACACGCTTATCACTTCCCGATTCTTCCATTAAATCATCCAAAATGAGTATGCCATGATGCTCTGGTTTAAACCATTTCACGAGAGCCCCTTCAAGAGGAAGTCCTTTGTAAAAAATAATATGTTTTTTCATGCGATCAAATCTGGTTTGCCATCTGTCATAGCAATACACTACTTTTTTCGGAGGAGGGTCAAACAAGGTTTTTTCTTTGAGTAATTTTTCCACTAATTCACTTTTCCCGCTACCTGAGGGACCAGCTACAATCACGCCAGCAGGTTGTCGAATCATTTTCGCCGTCTGTAATGTTGTACGTTATCTTTTATACCTTTCAGCGCTTGTTTTCCTAAAAAGGCCCCTAATTTGATAAAACTAGGAGAAGGACCGGACAACCCCATGGCGACTCCCTCGGCAATTTTATCCACTAAACGCGGTTTTCGCCTAAATCTAGCACCCCCTTTTTGACTTTTTCGTTTTTTTAGGACTCCACGATGTCTTCGCCCCATAGTGATTGATACAATCGCGGTGAGTTTAACTGAATAAGGATTAGTATTTGATCTTTCAAATGTGTTTCACCTATTCCTTTTATATGATTTTTTAAGTCCCACCACAAATTAGCTTGCACTAAACATCGTACAAATTGCCAATGATACCCATCCCACAGTTCCGCTGGATCAAGACAGAGTCTGATCCATTCTTGTTTGTGATCTTTCCAATAAGACCATTCTTTTTCTAACAGTGCATCGAGCACTTTTTGAACATCCCCCCGTAATATCATGATAGAAATGACACAATTTTATTCATGAATGAAAAAAGAAGAACGGTTTAGATTAGATTGCTCATACTCTGTCAGCTCTGTTTTAATGAGACGCTGCAGTTTGTCTGCGACTCGTCTATCATTTAACACTAAATTATTGGAATGCCACTGAGCTAAAAAATCTTGAAAAGAAGCATGTCTGGCTTTTGCTTTTAAAAAGAAAAGTGCATAATGACCGCACGTAAAACTATCCATGGCTTGTAAAATCTGATCACTGCTAATGATTTCTTTCCACTGACTGAACCAAGCTTGTAAGGTAAGGTTTTTGTAGGTAGAGAGCGGCAACCCATAACTGTCAAAGACTTCACAGGTGGTGGGATTCGTCCAAATCGCTAACCAATGTTCCCCCGGTTGACTCGCTGGATCTGTGTTAACAATGTAAGCATTCACTCGTTTCTTAGACCCAGGGGGTAATTGATCGGCTGGAAACACACCACGAAAATAAGGTCGTAATTCGCGATCATCTTCTGCTAAGTAATTGAGGACTGTATCACTGAGAGGTACGAACTCCATCCTAGCTGTTGATGGAATAAAGAATGCCTCCCCACTGGTCTATTTCATAGACATTTTCATACTCACTCCAAATGACTACCGTCACATTGTGACCTACATTAGCTCTGAAGTCAATTTCATAGCTGACATTCCCCTTGAGTTTAGGATTTCTATAGCTAGGATCATCCAGATCGCCAGGAGCATTGTTAAACATGAACAAGGTACAATTGTTACCTTGTCCCCAGTCGCTTGGGAGCAGCATGGGCACCCTGTGGTGCTTGTAAGCGCCGGACGCTGTGAGGAAGCGATCATAGCCTACTAAATCTTCTGCTTTGGAATTGCCTGTTAGTTCCAAGGCTCTATACGGGTATTCTTCGCCGTCAATCCGTTGTCGAACTCGGGTGACGCCAAACTTTTCATAAGCATAAGGGTAATGCTTCAGACTTCCATTGTAATTCGTGGAATTCATGAGTCCGATAATGACTTTGATAGGTACCTTGTTCAAGAAGACGTTGTCCTGAGACCAACGTGTGCTGTTCCCATCGAACGAATACGTTCGGATTTCACTTCGAACGACTGGGTAACGAACTTTTTTGGTTTTACTTAAACTTCTTTCTTTTTGTAGCCTGGAATACACAGAGGCATTGAGAGTGACTTTTTTCATCCAGAGTGTGACAGACAAATCATTGTCTCCCAGTGTTGGAATCTTTTTGTTGACAGACGTAGTTGTGTCCGGGGTGCCAAACAGAAACATGTTGCTGTCATTCAAATACAATTCCAAATCAATCTGCACGTTAGGAACCAAACATTTGCCCGTTTTGAACACAGCAATGTGGGGTTTGATGATAAAGGTATGGTACGCTTTACCGAGTAAGCGACTGGTCAGTGCTTTCAGACCTGTTTTTCCACTCCAGTTGTTGGGGTTGGGTTTATCATTATTGCCTGCATTGGTAGGGGTTAACTCTTCAAGGACATTGAGTTCATTCACCCATCCTTGAGCAGCCAAAGTCGTTTCTCCTTCTTGACGATTAAAATTCTGTAGGGTTTCTAGGTAAGCTTTCTGGTGATAGGCATTGCTTTGTTCTGTCATCAGCACTCCATTGAAAGACACATTCATTTGATTAAAGAGAGAATGCCCAAAATTGTTGACACAATAGACATACTTGGTATCATTACCGTCCGAAGCCCCTGTTTCATCATCGGAAAGTCCTCCTGTCCCAGGGGTGTTCATACGCACTTTGATTTCTAGCTTGGTTTCATTCAAATCATAATAATCATCCCCGGCCGGTACAGTAAAAAGAATAGGGCGTGTTCCAGTATTGGCAGGTTTGAAAGGAATCCACCGTTTGGCTTCATATCTATAGTCAATGTTGGGAATGTCAAACAGATTCAGTGACATGTTGACAGACTGATAGCTTAACGGCGTTTGCGCCGTCTATTTATACGTTTCCGTCCTTTGTTTTTCCAAGGGTAAATGACTGGATGCACTTTTCCTCCTCTTTGTTTTCTTATTCTTCTTGCCATCCATGGTTCTATTTCATACGGATTAGTAAATCGCCAGGGGTTGGGAGGCTGTCTAAAAATAGTGCCTCCCCGTTGATAAGGTGAATGGTAACGACCCACAGGTCGTTGATGTCTTATGCGAGATTGTGATTTCTGTCCTTGTCTCATGGTTTACACGCCTAAAATGTCTTTCACATGTTGTCGTTTCTTTTTATAGGTTTGTTTGGCTTTGCTTTTCACAGCCAGGCCAATAGCGGCGGGTATTTTACGTTTGAGTCCTCTTTTTAACACTTCTCCTGACCCTTTTAAGGCTTCGGAAGCTGACGCCCCTTTTTCATAAGCATGTAATCCATGCCCAATCGAGCGTACTACACTGGGTCCCGCTAATTTCACCAAATCTTGCATAAACCCTTTCCCATACATAGTGGGGGTATGATAGCGTGTCAGTGATCCTCCTAACATGTTGTTTGTTGTAATTGTGATGTTTCCATAAGACAGGGTCTCTTTTATACTTGTTGAAAACCAAGGGTAATGATGGTTTTGCCGGGGGATAAGACCAACAAGGACCCATCTGGTGTAGCCAATGACACTTCAATGCTTTCTATGTGTTGATTTCGAACTCGAATCCATTCACGATGGTAAGGTTCTATGGTCGCTCTCCCTTCTCCTTTTCGTTCTAATTCCACTTTTCTTAACAGGGAATGACGTTGTGATCCTACAATGGTAGATTCTACAGCATCGCAATAAATCATGACGGCTTGTTTTACGGTTCCCACATGCGTATTAAACAGGACATTCAGATTTTGAAAATGCCAATCCACAGTACGCGTGAGATACAGATACGATTGACCATTCTCTTGTTTGACTTTGAATAGCGAGCTTCCTCCTAAATCTGCTGGACTAATGCTCACAAAATGCTCTCCTAGCCATTGGTACTTATCATTGCTTTTGACGGGTGGAGTGGATGTCGTATAAGTGGTTGTGGGTAAGACAAAGTCTAAATTGGGTCCTAATTGGTATTGGTTGTTTTTTGTCTTTGAACAATAAACCAAACTTTTCCCCAAAATCCACATGGATCCCTACAGAGGAAAGGGGTAAATGTTTAGCTGTCTGTCACGAGCAAACGCATCTTCACGGGATACTTTTTTTCAACACGAGGGTGTTTTCGTTCCATTCAAAGGTGGGTTTCAAGTAGATTTCAGGAAACAGTGCCTGTATTACCTTTGGTTGTTTTCCAAGTGTCAAAGGATGACTTGACATCTTCCATGATGGTTTGTTCCATATGGGTCATAATATTCTGCCATAATTGATGACCTGAATAGACAGGATACGAACTACCCATGACATCTTTCAAAGTCACAGTTTTGTCTTTGGGCTCAAAGTTAATAAACCAATCACTGGCCACAGCATGACACTTGGTCAAGGTGTAGCGATAGTTGAGTATCTTGGTGTCACTATTACTGTGAATGACCGCAGAACTATGTCCTACATCGGGAACAGACACACTCCACAAACTGGCTTGCCAGGTATTGCCTTCTAAATTGAGTCGCACCGGTAAACGCACTTTAAAATTATTATTTTGGTTTTGGGGATGTTCGTCCGTGGGATCGCTGATCAAGGTTAATCGAAAACTCTTCATAACACTTGCAAATCTTTTTTCCACACCCAAGAGTTATATTTTTTCGGCCAACCCTTCCAAGACACAAAGACTTGTTTTTTTTTGCGTTTTAAAACTTGATCAATACGAAATAATGAATCGTCTGCGACATTGACCTTTTGCAGATCTGGTTCATAAAACGTTCCTTTTATAGGAGACCCGTCCCATTCCGTGAGTTTATACGTTACCACTGGTTTTGTCGTATAGATTTGTTTCACTAAAACACTTCTTCGGTCCACCCAGGCAAATACCCTTTTTAAAAGGACGAAATTTTTTATTGAGTCTTACTTTATCACCTACTTGACATTGCGGTTTTTCACTTTGTTGTCTTTTTTCGTATCGTATAAACGATACCAAATTTCGGTTTCGTTGGACTCGTTGACATTGACAGGTTTTTCTTGAGTACTACGATGATAGGAATGATTATATGCTTTCACTAAAGCAGGCAACACATCAATATACTTGAGCGTATTATGCGCAGTAAAATAGCGAAACATGTTCGTTTTCAAAGTTCGATTCTAACGTTCCACTACGGAACCGTGAGGATCTCCATGCGTAGAAAAATGATTCACACCCTGTTTTTTAAAAAAGGATTGCACTTTAACATTATAAAATTCACCGCCCGAATCCGTCTGTACTTTTTGAGGTAAACAATCTCCTAATCTTGCCCATAGTCTTTGTAAGGCTTCTACCATCGTTGTTGCGCTTTTACTCTTTAACGGCTCTACCCAGGCAAATTTTGAGAGCACATCAATCACCGTCAGTAAATATTTGTACCCTTTGTTGTATTTGGCTAGTTTTTGCATGTCTACCAAGTCCATCACAAATTGTTCGTTGATGTTAAACACCAGGGTGGGTAATGTTTTAAACCGCCGACGTCTTGGTTTGTGCAGAGTGTAACTCAGTACTTGTTGCAGTTCCTTCTTTGCTTTGGACACGGGAATCTTGTGTGCTTTGGCAAATTTGGCAACACCTCCCAGTGATCCAGGCTTGGTAGGATCGGCATACGAAGCAGATAATTTTGTTTCCATAGTACGATAGATACTGTCCTGCTAAATACCAAAATCAATACATGTTCTTTGAATAGTGCTTCTTTAAATAGCAAAACACGGTTACTCTTTCAGAAGGAAAGTGTCGATGCAACCAAGTGAGGTACACAGCATAATGTCCCCAGGATGAATGATTATGATTTATCATCCATTGAAACAGACTGATAGGTTGACAAGTGTCTTGAAAGAAGGTAGAGCCTTCACAAATATGTTGGCAAATCCACACAGTACTTCTATACTGCAGATTTCCCATGACGGAATGACTGCTTTTAAAACAAATCACCCACTTTATACCCTAACCCTAATCCCAAAGGACTAGGGTTTAACCCTAACCTTATTAGCATTTTAACCCTAACCCTAACCCAAATCCCAAGGGGCTAGGGTTTAACCCTAACCCTAACAAGAAAACAACCACAAACAAATCCTTTTCAACACTTTTATTTAAAAATTGACAGAACTAGTCATTGCATACATTCTTTAAAGAGTAACTCAAAAGATACCAGTTCCAAATGTTCTAAATGTTTCATAGGAATAAGGAAGCAATCCACATTTTCTTCTCTCTGCATTGTTTGCATCACATTCTTGCAAAAATCTCTTTTCTTTTTCTTGTTTTTGCTTGTCTGTTTCTTCTGGTGCATATACATTCACCAATTGAGCAAAAAAACGTTCCTCCACGGGTGTTAAAGGCAATCCCTCCTTCTTTCTCTTGCGGCAATAGGTCATCAAACTGCACACTTTTTCGGGCAAATAACCAAAAGACCAGTCTTCATACACTGCTTTGGCAATGGCTACTTCGTTCTTTTCATACTTTTCAGCTCCGGGAGGAGGTTTCCACTCATTATGTTTGCTTGCTATGCAGGCATTTAAGAACTTTTCATCCGCAGGTGAGAGAGAATGGCCTTTGCTTTTTTGTTTTGTTAGATACTCAGCTACATTTGCATCCGCTGGAGGAAGATGATGATGCCATCCTTTCACACGAGAATGAAACCGATGGTTAGCAATACTCACAACCTCCTTCCATTGCTCTCGTTTCTTGAGTTCCTTCTCTGAACTCGACTGAAAGGTGCTTGGCAGAGGAGTGCTCTTCCAAGGAAACTTTGTTTGCGCTTTTCTTTGTTCTTCTTGCCTTTTGGCTGATTCAGCAAACTGTTTAGCTGATTCAGCAAACCATGTATGTTGCTGATTCTGCTCTGTTTGAGTTTCGGCATCTTGTGTGCTGTACCAACCATTGCGTTGTTTCCACATCTCAACATTCGCTTCTGCTTGTTTCATCCATTCGGCTCTGCTCAGGTTTGTCGCATACTTGAGTTTATGGATGGGTCTCTTATCGATAAACAGTGGTGTGTGAATCCACTGAAAATATTTGCAGCGAGTGTCAGCTAAAGCGGGTGTTCCACAGGTTAAAAAGACTTTGTTCAGGTTTCTGGCGGTCTTACTAAGACGAAGGATAGGAATTCGCGAGCAATGACATTTCAGTTCTCCCCATTTGGTTTTTACTTCTGCATGCATGTCTTTCTTTAAGGCATCATACACTTTCAATTTGTCCAATTCTTTTCCATAAAATCTTGGGCAGAGTTTCTTTTCGTCAAAAATAGAAAGCAAAAATTGAGTGTTTAAAGGACCGTCAGGACCGCCAAAATCTACGTTCATCATTTCAAGGTCTTCTTCTCTACTCATTTCACAAGCCATGGTAGCAGAGTTTGTGATTTGACCAGAGATTGCCCCAATTTTATAAGACTCCTAAGGTCCCTAGGGTATCGGGAAAGATCGGGCAAGAATCCCCAAGGGTGTTAGACAAATAAACACACGCTTGACTGAGATCACATTGTTTAATTTTAAACAACAAACTTTTTACAACAACAAGAACAAAGTGTTTTTAGGGAAATTTAAATCCTCCTGCCTCTACTTTTGGTCGTTTCTGTAATCTTTCTTGTACCATCTCATGCATTCGTTTCTTGAGAGCTGAGGGTGTAAAAGCTTTAGGGACCTTCACAGGTTTAGGTGCTTGGTGAATCCACTGAAAGTAATTACACCTGGCTTCTCTGGTCTTAGGACAGCTTAGGAACACTTTGTTTGGATTTCTTGGTGTTTGACTCAGCTTGAGTCTAGGCACTAATCCACAATGACAGCTAAAGGTTCCCCATTGCTCGTAGATTTTGGGATGAATGCTGTTACAAATGGTATCCAACACTGTCTGCTTGCTGTCTGCATTGCCAAAATACACGGGACATGTAGAACAAATGGCAAGGCCTTTTTCAGGCAGGACAAAGTTGGTATGCAAAGGCTTGCTCGCATCCAACAGATATTCTTGCAAAGAAACTTCATCTAAATTAGGCACATCGAATTCCCCTTCTATAGGCCACCATTCCACTTGTCGACCATCTGGTAACACAGCGACTCCTTCTTCCATGATATGCACGGGATCTAGGTCAGGCTGTGTTTCCATAGAACTCGGACCATTGAACAGATCTCGGCAGGCCTGCTGCATTTCCTCATAGGAAGGAAGTTGTTCATTGACAATCATTTGAGGTTCTGGGTCCAGGTATTTCTGCAACCTAAATTTATCGTCTGTAGTGTAATGGGGTGCTGTCCATTCTTTTGTAAGAGGTTCTGCATTCTCAATCATTTGAGGTTCTGAAGTTTTCAGAACTGATTGAACCACTTCTTCTCCCGTCTTATTTTTGGCTTTTCTGGATTTCTTTTCTTTCTTGGGAGGAACAGAGTTATCCATGTCAAACGTCGGTTCTTGCACATAACACATACAGCAAAATCACATCAAACACACAAATTTATACTTACTTAAAATACCTTAGGGAATTGGACATGTCTGGGCAATGACGTCACTCCTGTCACGAACTCGCACTAATCACACCCTTGAGACTTGAGCATGTTGGGGCAGACTATAAAAGAGATAAATTACCTCATTTCATTATTTAACAACATGACTCAGCCAAATGACAACTCGTTTTATGTGACGCTGACTAGTCAAAAAACACAGGAATTTCCAGACAATTTACTCACACAATTTCAATACCGTTTGCCTCAAAGCTTATGGTTACCGGGCAAATGGAAAGTGGGTTTGGCAAGTGTGTTTTTACCTGGCGTTTCCAATCCCATTCCCCATGTTGTCACATCCCATGTCAGTTCCTCTCTGACGAAACATCATGACACAAATCCTACCAAACCTTTCGGTATTCGCTCGATTCACAACCTGTACAAAGGGAGCGATACCGATATTTTATTTCAACAATATGCCAAAGCTTTCAAATCTAGTCAACCTCAAGAATTTTTGTCCCAACTTAAAACAGCAGATTTGCAAGATGCCTCCAATGGATTTGATTTTATGTCCAAAGTTTTTTGGTGGATGGAGCAGGATTTAAACAAAAAATTACCCACAGGGTATGAATTTGCAGATAGTAATGGTAATTGGAGAATAGATGTTTCTGCTCAAGATAATTACACGAGTTGGTTGCTTCGGCATTACAATGTTGAAAGTACCAACAGAAAAAGTGTGCCTTATTTAGCCATTAATTTGATCTTGGCTAAGCAAATGGGTTGGGTTGTAGAAACAACTACCAATATGTTTGCAGTGGGACCGAATTTACTCATGGAGCTTCCATACGGTACTACTAGTGTAAAACCAGATCCCGCGACCTGTCTCAATGCAAAATTTACTTTTACTCAACCCATTCATGTCGTAGACGGATTGCTGTATCTTTGCTCCACGTTTAGTTGGCGCTTTGTAAATTTAAATGAAGCCTTTGACAAAGCAATTCATAAACCCTATGAAATGCCAAAAACAGTGTTCAATGTGTTCAAACCCTGGATGACTAACCTTTCCTTATGGAATATGGAACTTGGACTCGCCTTGAACGATTACTTTATCGACTTGCCTGTGTCTCCCCATTATTGGAAACCCAGAACTCTGAGTGTGACTGTTAAGAGGAATAAAAATTGTGGATATGGTATCTCACGGAGATTACTCAGGGGAACTGGGAATTGACATGAGCTCCATAACTCGCAACAAACCTTATACGGTGGCATTAGAGTGGTACCAAAAGGATGAGTGGCTGTTTAACCGTTCTAAATTTTCAGTGGAAGGACTGGGTTTACAAGTTCATCATTTGCGGGTTGAAAAACATACTCATGAGCAAAACAAAACCCATTTGATTTATTACCACACCTTAACTATTCAATTCACCAAAACTTCAAGTAGCAATGTTACATTAAGCATAAAGTTTGAAATAGAGTTTCCACTGCCTGCAAAATATTCAGGTGCTTTGAAAGACAACACTTTTTTAGTGCTGTATGGTGTGGATGGACATGTAGAACAGGTACCCGATGTGTATGACGATCACCCGGTCATTCCTTCTTCTCACACAACCACCAAAACAACGACTACCAGTACGGGGGACAAGAAAGCTTCCACACATCCTAAATCTCATGGAACAGCCAATTTACGCCCTCTGTTTTTGTCATGCAATTTAACCAAAAGCATTGATGGAAAAAGAACCATCATGAAATCTGTCGCTTATAACAACGAAAAAACGCTGATTGAATGTAACCCCATTCAGTTTTATTCCTTGAGGAGTTATTTGGTGGACATTTTAGAAGTGACTGTGACAGAATGGAATAACCTTCTTCCGGACTTTAATCAGGATAGTCCAACTATTGTCACCCTATTGTTCAAGAAAAAGCTGACAGAGTCACAACGCAAATACATTAAGTTGGATGAATCGTTCGACCATGACCAACCCATATAAGCAAGCCTGGCAGCACAGATCATTCATTATGTGTGAGATCGAGTGGATCAACGTCGCAAGTAAATCACTCGCTTATTGCGCACAGCTGTTGCAACAGATTAAAGAACTCAAAGAAAAGGTTGCGACACTCCAAGAAGAAGCAGCTAGGTTGAAAACGTTGATTGAAAAACAAGAACATCTAGTACAAGATCTCAGCGAAAAACATGGGGGCTACGACACCGTCTACTAAATTGCAACATCTGTTAAAAAAAGTACAGCCGTGTCAATTTGCTTCCTACAAAGAATTTATACGAGCCTTGATGATTGAGGCATTAGGGAACAGCGACATGAACTTTGATCAATTGAATTACAACTTGTATGAGCTGAACCGTGAAATATTTCATCAAGTGAACAAAGAAACCTCAGCCTTTTACATGTTCTTGGCAAACAAACGACCTGATATAATATCCGATGGACCCTCAGACTAAAAGCATTCACTATGGAGCCATCAAAGAGTTTAGACGACATTTTACAGCATATGGATCCTTCACTACTACAAGGATACAAAAAGTTTATGCATGAGGTGATTATACAAGGTATCAGCTATGACAATTGTACGTTGGACACTTTAAACAGTTGTTTATTGGGCTTACACAAAAAGGTCATAAATAATATTGTTGAAAAAGCTATTTCTTACTACGAGGTGTATGCACCAGAAAAAACTAAGTCCCATGGGATTTAAACATGTCCGGACAGTGACGTCAATGGTCTTCTATAAAACTCACGTTGTTCAACTCATCACTACATACTACCATGGCTTTCACGATCATCTCTGGCGGCGCTAATGGAGTGGATTTAGAAGCAGAAAAGTTAGCAAGAAACTATGGTTTGCCAGTGCGTGTACTCATATAGTCCGGGGCCATGTGTCGGAAAAATCATTCTCGTGGGCATTTTATGAACATTTTAGTTTCTTTACGGAAACTTATAGTATAAATTGTATTAAATCGACAAAACGTTGTCTGCAATTTTTTGAAAGCTATGTAGGCCTGTTTTATGCAAATTAGATATGACGTCATTTTACAGCTGAGGACTGACAAGAAAATGTCTTTAGTATGATTCGGAACTTGTTGAATTGAATAAAATGCATTTAAAATTGCTGTGAAATCACATTTTGACTGTTTCAAGGACTAAGCGAATAGAACGGATGTTAAAAGGATAATAACACCAGGTTTTATTTTAGCAACACTTGTTCTTTACTTGGTCAATAGCTTTACTCCAGTTATTTACTACATATCTTAAATGAATCCCCATTGCATTTAAGAGTCTAATTCTGGACCTTTTTAAAGTTTTCTTTTAATTTTTTGGTCCATTCTTCGACTCCAGATAATAAATAATTATAATCCTGTCTGAATCTAGTAAGACAAAGCATGCGTTTTGATGGTCTTCCTGTGGTTTACAACTCAACACCTTATTTGGTTATGCAGGTTATTCTTCCTTTCTTGTTTGGTATTACTGCGAATTATCTGGAAATCAATGCATTGTTATTATTTGGCTTTGAAATTATCCAGAAATGTCTAGTCTAACTTATAATTCTTTTTTGGTCTTTAATGAAGTGAGCCCATTTCTAAGGGTGCTGTCTCGAGTTGGGCGTCCGTGTTTCCAATTTCCCGAGAAGATATGAAGTTTTATTCATTTATTATTATCACCTTGCCACAATAAAACAATACAATCATTAAAATAAATTAGGTGTTTACTTTTTTCAGGGCCTAGAGAATATTTATACGATTATGTTCGCTTGTTGCTTGAAACGCGTTTATTTGTGAATAAGAATTTCCATGAATGACGGCTGCAAAGAATGGCTGCATGACAAGAAATAGACCAGATCACGGGTTTTGGAAACCTAGCAATAAGCGTAATTAGAGAGGCTACCACTCGTGAGCATTTTTAAAACATTTTTTATTCTTCACACACTCTTTATTGTAATGACAACAGATGATTCCAGAAATACAAAACAGAAGTGTGTTATATTTTCGCAAGGAGAAGACTAATGTTTTTCGAGCATGGAGATTCCTTCGAAAGAAAGGCGAGTTGAGGAGAAGCCTGACTTTGGTAAATGCATTATTTGCCAGGAAGAAACTAGGGAGTCACTTCAGAGTGTGAGTGAAGAAGCTTATGCAAGTGTTTTGCACTTCGCGTATTCTAGAACTGCGTACGGTGAAAATGAGTTTGCTAACATCAGTAGATTACTGGACGGGGTATCGGCAGAAGAATTAAGACAGAATAATGCTTCTTTCCACGCAAGATGCAGGAAACGACTTGTAAATTCTGCTATGCTGAAACGTGCTGAAGCGAGATTCGAGAAAGCAGCTTCGTCACAAAATACTTCAATCCTTTCACGTCTTCCTGGAAGGCCGTCTTTTGCTTCGCAGACAGGCTCTTCTACACCTGTCGTTTTCCATGGTTTAACAGAACAAACTTCAAAGCGGATTCTACGTTCATCCACAGCTACCTTCAATAAGAAGTTATGTTTCTTTTGCCAGTCACACGACGATAAGCAGGACGTTCATGTAATACAAACTTAGAACAGGAGAAAGCAACTTTCAGAGTTCGTTGAAAACTCCCACAATGACTTGTACAAAGTTTATTTAACCAGCACAATAGAACCAAAAGATGCTTTGCCGAAAGATGTGCATTATCATCGTGCCTGCTGGATGAAACACGAGATACGCGCCATGACGCCTGAGGATAAGGCTAGAGCTGACGCCAAAGATTCAGAGCAAGAAAACAAAGTTGCTGCTGATATAGAATTCCTGCATCTCATCCAAGAGCTTCTAAAAAAAGGAAAGATACTGAGTCTGGAAGACGCTCAAAAGGTGTACACGAATATCTTACAAGATCATCTGTACAACTGGTTTCCTAGTAGAAAATCTGTTAGGCAGCTGTTAGCAGAGAATGTTGATGGTATCGAGTTCGTAAGTGCATATGGACGAAACGAGTCCGATCGCTTTTGCCTATCTGCTGCTAAGATCGCGGCCATAGAGAAAGCCGTTAAACAGTCATCTCACATTAATAGCGAGCTTGAAGCCCTTTATGACTGCTCAAAGATAATTCGCAAAGAAATTCAGGACGCAAATACTTGGCACTTTAAAGGTACGCTCGACATAGATGCACAAGATAATGTCCCTACCAAGCTGTTTACATTACTCAAGTGGATACTTTCGGGTGTGGTTTCTGAACTGAAAACGGAGCAGCGAGCGGAAGATGTCAACAGAAAGTCAGTTCTCCTTGCGCAGCAGATTATGTACCACACCAAGACTGATAGGCAAGTCAGATACGTGCCTCAATTAGATGAAGAAGGGAATACATTTCTTCACCAGCGCGAGTACCCATTGCAAGTTGGGGTTGGCCTCCTTGCTCACCAGCAAATGAGAAGTAAATTAGTAATTGATGTTCTACATGAGTTGGGCGTTTCAGTTAATTATGCGAGGATTCTACGCATAGAAACTCAGCTTGCGCAGGCTGTTCTGAGCAACTCCAGTGAGCACAACATCTTTATACCTCCGAAACTCTGTAAGGGCCAGTTTATTTTTTTTAGTGTTGACAATTCCGATTTCTCAGAAGACACTCCCGACGGAAAGAACATACTTCATGCAACCGCGATGGTTGTGTTCCAGCGAAAACGTACTAAAGATCCTGAAACTATACTGGAAATTGATGCGACTATGAGGACCAAGTCCCTTCCACAAGAGTCAATACCTGACACAGAAATATTACAGTGTTATATCCCTAAGAATGCGCAACCAAAGTGCTCCGGCTACACATTAGATACTACACCATCTAGTGATGTCACCAAGAAAGCGGAGCAAAATGACTTGGCGTGGTCGGTAGGCAACTCAATCATCAGGTCTCGGTTGGAGCAAGTCAAAATCCCCACGTGGGCTCCATACAATTCTCAAGTGTTGTCTTTGACCCATCAGCTGACCACCGTTTCCATGATGCCTCTTCTAGCGGCTCCGGCGCATGAGTGGAGCACGATGCTCACAGTACTAATGCAGGCACAGAAGATCACGGCTGTGGTTATGGGAGAAAACCACAAGACTGTCATTACCTTTGACCTCCAACTATATGAGAAGGCTGTGAAACTCCAGATGCACAAGGCCCCAGACCTAGACCATCTGGTTTTTCGAATTGGCGAGATGCACACGATAATGGCTTCTTTGTGCACTCTTGGGGCATCAATCGATGGCAGTGGCTTTGACGAGGGATGGATAGAGGCGGGGCTGTATGGTTCAACTACAATGCGACAGATTCTTGAAGAAAATCATATGAAGCGCGCTCTCACAGCTCACAGTATAACGTACTCTCCCTTGAGCGACTTGCATATGGAGGCGTTTTGGAAGAGCGAAAGTGATAAAAGTAATGCCGAGCACAAGACTGTATACGATAGTGTAATACAAGCATGCGTTGCAATGAACACCATCTGCAAGGAAGGTCGATACAGTGAGATAGGGACGAAACACAAAGACCTTGTAACGGCGATGGAAACCGACGACCTTCAAGAGAGGCTATTGAGATTTGATGAGGTCATGGAGTGTCAGTGTCCATTATTCAAGTTTGCCCGGGACTACATGAAGTTTGTGATGTGTATCCTGATGTTCATACGCGCATCAAGAGAGGGAGACTGGAACCTTCACCTTGAATCTCTCAAGGCTTTGGCAAAGTATTTCTTTGCTCACGACAGGCTGAACTATGCGCGAATGGTGCCACTATATCTAGCGCAGATGCACTGGTTAAAGATCGATGATCCCGATATTCACCATGAATTCATCCAAGGAAACTTTTGTGTAAACAAAAATGAGATCCCTTTCTGTGCAATTGGACCGGACCACGCCATAGAACACGTCAACAAGTTGATGAAGATTCGGGGAGGGCTGAAAGGTCTAACACAGCAACCAGCGGCCATGGCAAGATGGTTCCTTGTGGCGCCAGAACTAAGTGGACTTGCGACGCAAGCTGAGGACATGTTGGGGGTACAAAGAGCTTCATCACCGCATCATCACGATTTAAGCGATGCGATAACAAATCGCTATAATGAAAATGTACAGAAGCTGAAGGATGTTCTCAAAGTCAGTGACCCTTTCGCGACAGAGGAACGTCATCTGGTGAACATCATCACGAAAGCGGTAATGCCAGATGACATCAAGGAGGGAGTCCTAACACGAGATAAGATCGGCCAAGCGTTGTTTGAGACATTTGCTCAAGAGAGAATCGTCGAGGCCAAGTTAAGTGTTTGGAGCCCCATGAAAAAGGCAAATCTGAAGTCATGGAAGTCTGCTTCGCAAAAAAACAAAAACAAGACAACTTGTGGCGTCGCACCCTTAAAGGATGATAGAGCTCTCTTCGCATGCTTCTTAGTCGTCAGTCTCTCAAGGCCTGATCTTGACATAAAGGAAACCATTAGTACCTTTGAGTTAGCCGAGTATCCAAGGGCACTCTTCTTCTCTGATGGCAGTTCGCGACACTGCGCTACCAAGAGCAAGCTGATGAACATCCTAGAAAGCCTTTTACCGGCCCAACAGCAACCACAAACGTCTACAGTACAACCTCACTCTGCAGTTCCCTCCAGTAGGCAAGTGATCATTATTGATGCCATTGCCGTCGTTCAGGCAATGGGAAAGCCACCGTGGGTTAGAAATGGGCGTGACCTAGCAAGCCATTTTACAGAAGTCATTGATTCTAAGTCTGAAGGTGCCACCGAGGTGCATGTATTTGACCGTTACGATATCCCGAACTCCTTAAAAGAAGGAACGCGTCAGAAACGAACGGGCACAAGCAGAGCAGTGGTGTACAAGATTACTGTGGATGCGGTTATTGACAAAATCACGATGAAGGATCTTTTGAGCTGCAGCCAGAATAAGGAGACATTGGCTATCTTCCTTGCAGCACAACTTATCGAGTGCAAGAAAGACTCGCAGACGACGTATGTAGTAACCTCTAAAGCTGACTGTATGGCTTCTAATAGCCTACCGATTCAGCATTTAAGGAGTGAGCAGGAGGAAGCAGATACTCGTATGCTCCTACATGCTCTAGACGCCACACAGAGAGGAGAAACGTCCATAACCATTCATAGTCCAGATACAGACGTACTCGTTCTGACGCTCTGGGTTTACAAGAGACTTTGTCTAGACACTACAGTCATTGTTGGAACAGGAGGAAAACGAAGAAGTATTCCACTAGGCTCACTCTACGAGGCGGTAGGAGAAGAACTTGTGAAGGCTTTACCTGGCTTTCACGCTTTTTCAGGATGTGATCAGACAGGCACTATCAGTGGAAAAAGCAAAGTGTCTTGTTGGAATACACTAAAGAAAGCTGAACGATCAGTACTCGATGCATTTTCCAGCCTGGGAACCACCGACACCATCTCAGATGATATAGACATGACGCTAGAGCGCTTTGTCTGCCAGTTGTACATGCCATGGACACAGCTAAGAACCATAGGAGAGGTCCGATGGCTGCTCTTTAGCAAGAAACAACACGTAGATGAACAGCTGCCCCCTACTAAAGCGGCTCTACACCAGATGACAAGACGTGCTAATCTGGTTGCATTGGTTTGGAAGTCTTGCGACAACCCAAATCCCAGCATTCCTAGCCCGATATTACACGGATGGAAACAAGATGGGGATAGAGTGCACCCGGTTCCAACCACACTCCCACCTGCACCTAAGGTCGTACTGCAGTTGATCAAGTGTGGATGCAAAGGAATCTGCGTCACAATGAACTGTACGTGCAGGAAGCACAACCTAAAATGCACTGATATGTGTGGTTCATGCGAAGTGAAATGTACGAACAGGAGCGGTAACACTGATACAGTTGAGCATATAACAGGGGATATTAGTGACGACGAGGACCTT